GTTAGGGTTTTTAAAGGGAGCTTCAGCTTAGGGTGTTAGGGTTTTTAAAGGGAGCTTCAGGTTAGGGCTTTAGGCTATTAGGGTTTTTAAAAGGGAGCTTCAGGTTAGGATTTAGGGGTTTAGAGGTTTAGGGCATGTTCCTTTTAGGTGTCTGCCAGGATAGAACAGCTATCCTGCAACATGACCCGTGTCCCATCGCGGTGAATTTCGGTCGCTCAGAAGGACTGATTGCAGAGCAACGGGAAGCTGAGCCGCCCAAAACCCGACAGCTAGATCCAACCCAAAAGCACGACAGGAAGCGCTGCACGGTACGCACCTGCTCCTCAGAAGAGGAGGCAGGACGCTTGCTGATTTGGCACAGGCTGTCACATGGGACCCCACATGGAGAAACAGTCTTTTGACTGCGTGACCAGTCGTGGCTTTTCTGCTCGCGGCGATGAAGTACTGTAGCACTTCGCAGGCCTTGCAGATCTACGGGCGCTTGTATCAGGAGGCGGCTCACCGGCGAAGGACGGCACACAAAAGTGTAAAAGTTGTTTTTGTGTTTCAACCTAGAAAGCCCCAAACAACCCTATCTATACCCCTCAGAGCCATGAGCTCCGAGGAGGCAGGTGGAGCGCGAGCAGGAGGCCGGTTTCTCCTGGGCACCGATTGCGGCGTTTCAGATGATTTCAGAGCTCCGATGCGGGCGAAGCAGGAGACTCTGAGCTCACAGTGCTCCACCTCTTCCCTGAGGAGTCAGGCGGCTTGACGACTGTCACTGCTACCGACTCCAAGCTCCTTTTAAAGGCATCCCTTTGTTTTACACTTTGAGCAGACTGGGGAGCCGGCGAGGTGGAGGGACCTCCACGCTGGGAGCAGCTGTACCACAGCGCGCCTCTCAAAGAGGCAGCTGGAGGGTGCTTCTACTCTCTTCGGCTCATTTCCTAAACGCCCCATTCAAGGATCCCGAAGGATCCCTACCATCCCCAAGCCCGGAGCCCGCCAGAAGCGTCTTGGGGATGAACGGAAGCGAGCTGCGGAAGCGGAGGAGCGCTGGCTGGCCGGGAGCCCAGTCGGAGATCGGAGCTTCGCCTCTCAAGCCGCAGCCGTGCATCCGATGAGTTAAGAGCAATGCTGCAGTCCACTGCAGCTCGTGGCCTTTTTTGTTTTTTTTCAGTTTTTTGTGCGCTCCTTCAGCATGCCCTTCCCTAGAGAAGGCGCAACACTGCATCCATCGCAGCAGCGACAAGACAGAGGCATCAGAGGCCAGTCGCACGTATCATGTATCCGAGACACTACTGGTAGCGGCATGTTGAGACTTCAATGGCAGCGGGAGTTGTCGTCCTTGTCGTCGTGTTGGTGGTGATGGAGGCATGCCTATAGAAGAAGCAAGTCTGGATCGACAAATCCTCAGAAGTTGTAAGCTATTAAAATTACTATCCATTATCGACGACCGCTACTACTGATGCCTCTACCACTACTACCACTGCCACCGCCCCGGCCACTACCACTGCGAGTACTACTGGCTTCGGCTACGGCTGCGACTAACTGACTAACTGACTAACTGCTGCTGCTGCTGCTGCTGCTGCTGCTGTTGCTACTACTACTACTACGACGACGACATACGACGACGACACTACTGCTACTGCTACTGCTATACTACTACTACTACTACTACTACCACCACTACCACTGCTACTTCTCCTACTCATTGCTGCTACTTGTACGAGTTAGCAGTGGCCATTGCGCCGTGTCCAAGTTCACGCTTCGGCTACCCTGTATCGCTTTTCTCGCTACCTTCTCCACTTCCATGGTTCTCGGTTGTATGTTCAGACATCAGCGAAGCCTTGCACTCCACAGTGGCAGCAGTTTGCACATGCGATGCAGGAAAGCTTGGCAGAGCTTGGACTTCACAGCACTCGCAGGGTCGTAGGGAAGACGAAAGTCGCGAGCTGTCCTCAAAGAAGACGAGAACCCCGTCAACAGATTTCCCAAGCCACTGACGTCTGAAAGAAAGGCATTACAGGCTTTGAGTTCTGGGGACTTGCAGAATGCAGTCGGGCGTCTTATGTCTGCTTCAAGCACTCCCAACTCGTCTCATTGATCCCCGTTTTCTCCCGGCTGCAAAAATCGAACAGATCTTCGACCGACTTTATGGCGAGAGCGAAAGCCGTGAGCGCCGCCGAGAACAGCGCAAAGCTGCAGAGGCTCGCTGTGACATGCAACAACGGCAAGTAGTCTTCACAAATCTTCACAAGACAAGGGATCGCAATGGCCCCTCAAGTTTGGACGTGCCGCTACTGGGCCTTGCAGGGCTGAAGCGTTGGCATTGGAAGGTTGACACTTTGATGCCCTCCCAAAAGGGCATCGCTTGCCTAAGCTGATATTCAAGCTGTTGCTATGCTAGTAGCGTTGCTACAAGTGGCAGCATGACCATGATGCTGTATCGGTAAACCTGCCACTGCTACATTTACTGCTTCCTGCCAGATTCTTGATGATCACTATCATTTGCAAGGTTGCCTCCCAAGTGCGCGAGCTCGCTGAGAGCGGCTCACTCAGGGGACGCGCAGTGTCTGATTGGCGGTGCGTAGCCTTGTTGCTTCGGCCATGGCCGCAGAAATCAGTGCCTGCTAATTTCGGCGAATGGGCTTCAGAGCCTCAGGCTCTGTCCACACCCGCACTCTTTCGGTAGCGGACTTGGAGCTCAGAACAAGGCGCGCTCGCCAGAGGCTTGCAAGTTGCGTCTGACCTCACATGTTCAATGTTCCCTTCCATTGCATCCTCATGAGTCGTCAACTTGGTTTGCGAGCTTGGCACTGCGGGGATTCATGGTATCCGCGCTCTGACCTGGGAGCTGACAGCGCCTTGGCGCTCGCGTTCGCCGCCTCCTCGCCAGGCGCCTCTATGAAGACGGCCTGCAGCGACTGCAGAAACTGGAGGACAGTAAGTATTGCTATGCCATACTTGGTTTCTTGGAAGGCGTGACAGAAGGGCAGCTCGGCTCCCATATCTTCTTAAACTCGAGTGCGAAGACTTCCAAACTTCTGGACCACACCCGATTTAGTCGTGGTATGCCGGTATGCCCTGAAATGGGTCGTTCTAGGTGTCGGCTAACTTGTCACATTCTCCCTCTGGAAGGCGCGATCTCCTGTGCTAGCTGTCCATGAAACATAATGAAACAATCACATCGGCCGTCGGTGAGTCTGGCTCCACGTAGCTGGGGGCCGCCGAAAGCCAAAGTGCTTTTCTCGCCTTCCTGCAGGAGCCCAAGATCACATACAGGCTCGAAACAGAATCAAACATGTGGGTACCACAAAGCATGTCCAAAGGCCGCTGCATACGTTGGTGCTGTGCTACACCCAACCTGCGATGGCTCACCAAGGATGCGGGAACGAGCTTCCGAGAAATGAAGGTTCTGTTCTTTGCTGCTCTCGCGGCACCTATTGTAGATTCGGCTGTGCTACTCAGATCGCCTGGATCTCAGAGTTCCAGAGATTCGCAGCAAGCTAAGGGCTTGAAAGAGTGCTCGTTAAGATCTTGTGCTGTGCTCGTTTGGCCCACAAGATGCTGGGGCCCGTCTGCCGCTTCCCCGAGGCGGGATCGCGCCTGGGACGCAAGTCTGGAGCCCGGCAGGGCAAAACAGAACCCTGAGGAGTAGCGGTGCCCTTCCTCTTCCCCTCTTTATCGCGACTCAGGCTCTGCAGAAGCCGAGCCTGCCGATTGCAACGCTCCTTGCGTCCTTGGCCCAAGATATCCCCCTGGACAGTCGCCTTATGACGACCTACGCTCGTTTAGCAGCATCATCATCACCATCATCATTGCCAGCATTGCTTTATAGCCTGCACTGTTGCAGTTGTCATTGCTTTTCATGCGGCTTTGAGTCAACAATGTACAATGTACATTGTGCGTTTATCCGGCAGTATTGTAGTAGGAGTAGAAGGGGAGGCGAAGGAGTAGGAGTGGCAGTAGCAGTAACAGCAGTGGCAGCAGCATCAATAGTAGTAGGAGGATGAGAAGGAGGAGACGGAGTGGGAGTAGGAATAGGTGGCAGGTAAGAACAGCGGAAGCTTTACAAATGGCTGACATTGATACTGGTACATACAAGTACGCTGTCTTTGTAGTCACTTAGCAGTCGTCGTCGTGTCCCGAAGCCAAGGCCTGGGACTGCGGCACTCCGGAGTGCAGTCAGTCTTGCAAAGCGGAGCGGCCCTCGGAGCAATCTTCGAACCACATGCTTCACTAGTCTCGTCTTCACAGCGCTTTCCCAGAAGTATGCACACCCTGACACACCGTTCAGACAAGGCATTACAAGGCCAAGTTGCTACTGCTACCTGATAACTTATGTGACGATTCTTGGTTGAAATCCTGCTTTCACTCACCTCCATCTCCGCGGAAATCTCAAGCAAATCGAAAGCTCGGAACACCAAAAGCGCATCATGCCAGCACATGGTGGCGACATCCACGTTGCTTGTAGCTTTCGAGTTCTCAAGTGCACATGTCGCATTGTCCACGCCGGCGCTATGCAGTTCAAGACACTGTGAAGTGTCGATCGTCTTTGATGGTCGTTACGTTCTGTAGTAGCCGATCGGCTTTGCAGATTGGATATGTTCTGCCGGGTCGTTGAAACATCTTGGAGCCCACACGGCTGAAGGTCTGCCAGCCGCCCCGATGCTTCACAGCATGTAAGAAGCCACAGGAGCAGGACGAAGCCGGGAAGGGGAGTTTTCTGTTGACTGCCTCACATACATGGTCCCGCTAGGACTGCCGGCACGTCTGCAAGGTTCCAGCCTTGGTCTGCGACCAGCAAGCGGCTGCCAAGCATGCAAGTCGCTCTGGCATCAGGATCCCAAGTGCACGGTGGTATGTCCACCACAGACTTGCCAGTCAGAGAACTGCCGGGTCCCTACGAACTAGCTGCAGTTCCAATGAAGTATCTACGAAGCTGCATGTTTATTCAAGCGCGGTGAAGTCGATTCTTCTGCGAAGTATGCGAAAGACTCGGAAGATCGGCCACTGCAGACTGCGCGGCTGGAGGCCCTCCGCCGGCATGCAGTACTGTCTGCGGCGAAGCAGAGTGCCACATGGAGTGCCCTGGAAGCGGGTGGGCGCCTCATTTCTTGCCAGCTCAGGCTTGAGATGCTGAAAGGTTGGCATAACGTGTACTCCTGGCACGTAGCTCACAACAAGCCCGCGGAGTGCCAGGTGTGAGACCCGCTGCGAAGATCCCGTGTGCCACTTCGACTGCCCCATGCCTCAAGTCTGGCTTTCTTTGCGTCTCAGCCACAAGCACAAATTTGACTTCAACAAAGAGTTCGTGCTCGTGGTGTGGCGATACACCTCCCGTGAGATTCTGGAGAGTTGCATCTTCCCAGGCAAGATAGACATGAAGACTTGCGTGAAGCCGGATTGCAAGCTTACTTGCCAAGCCCTGAGACACCGCGCCGTGCTTGAGACGGCACATCGTTTGGCTGTCTCGCCTTTGTCTGAGGCCCTAAAGGGTTGGGAGCCCGGCAGAGTCTGACGGAGTGCTCTTGCTCTTCAGTTTCACAGTTTCTCTCACACTGCATCTTGAGCTGTTTCTATCTGTCAGAGCCGTAGATCCGATGCACTAAGGGGCTGCCACAACAAGACTATAGGCACGAGGGTTTCTTGAACCTCATCGGCCCAACTTCGGAATTGGGATGTCGGCCAGAGAGACAGAAGTCGCCTTGTTACACTTGTTGGTTGGGCGCGCGGCTTTGCACGGCAAACCTGGCACCTGAATGAAAGGTTTGCAGTTGCTCCTCGATTGGACTAGCCCCGACAAGCAGTGGCCAAATGAGCTCGCACGGCTCGATGAGATTTTGCAAACTCGCAGTAACTACAGTTCAACATGATGTTGATCTAGTCAAGAGTCATGTCTGCATCTTGTGGATGCGGAACTGTGGCCAGACCTGCCGTTCGCTTACCGGCTTGAGACGAATGCGCAGACAAGCGCCCGAGCTCAGTCTTCCGCACACCACAAATACAAGTCCTGAAGAAGGGCCTCGCAGATCTTGGCACAAAACGAGAGGCTCCAGCGTCTGTCCCCACCCCCTCCCAAGGCGCCGCAGCCGCAGCATCTCCGGCAGCCAAGCCTGGTCCCAAAGCACCTTTGAAATTGGGGTCTTCGGAGTTTCGGCTCTTGTTCCGGAGCCTGGTGGGAGCCTTCCTCACATTCCATAGAGCCGTGGGAGGTGTCTGTCGGCTCGGGACCTGCACGTTTGTCGTGTCGTCATTGACTTGCTGGTGCCCAGTGGATTCCGCGAGGTCGATCTCGGCAGCTGCAGAAGAGGGAGAAGTGGCATGGAAGGGGCTCGCCAAGGCCGAGTCCAGATGGGCTCTTTGCTTGTTCCCAGCCCACGAACAGTGCATGTGAGTGGGTTTTTGTTGATGCATCTCGGCCGATCTCGACTATTCGTGACCCTGTGCTTGCTAATTGCCTTCGTTAATTCATCAGTTTGCGCGTGTGCGAGTTTGCTTGCCAGTGTGTACTGTAGAGGAACGCATTGTACAACGCTATAGAAGGTAACATCGCCGGACAGCGGGCCGTCAACACCTTCGCTTTAGCATCTTTAACACCTTCGCTCTGAAGGTCCCAGAAGCATTTGGCGCGACTGGAGCTCAGCCCAAGCAAATGTTGAAACTTCGCCTGGCATGGGTTGGGCAGTATGGAGTGCTGCGAGCATTCCGAGAGAGAACGTAGCAACATTGAGCCGTGACTGTATACAATGAGCCCTCTCATGGAATCAGCACATGGGCGTTCAAAGCATGGTTCCAATACATGACCAACATCTTGAAATACAGGGTACTTACCGCGCATTGGGTATGCGCCTGCGCATCAGCAGTCAGTGCCTGAGGATTGATCACAGGGAGTACATGGCGACTGCCCAGGCGGCTCCATGTAACTTTGTTCCCACGGCCACACCTCCGCTCCGCCATGCTGCGAAGAGTGCTCATTGGTGTTCCTCGTATGCTTCTTTGGTGTGGCAAGGCTCCTGCACCTGCGCCCAGCCCTGCTGCAGAGCAGCAAGGGCCTTCGAGCGCAGGCGGGTACATAGATACCACTGTTGTTGCTTATGATGTAATTCGGGCCCAAAGAACCATATAGTACTGTTATCGAACAGGGCCCAAAATACCACAATAAGGATGGTCCAAACCCTTTACGTGCCCGGAAGAGCAGGTGTGTCTGCAGAGGCCAGAGCGCACAGGAAGATTTTTGTGTAGATCGTATCATAATGTAATCTTGTACCTTTTCCGCTGAACGACGCTTCCGACTCCAAAGTTGAAGTTCCGTGTTTTCAGGACTTTCCAAGCAAGCGGTAGCCGCAACCGGTTGAGGAACCGCTCGCAGCTTTGAGCTCCTTGGCTTCACGGAGTTTTTTCTTGGGGGGGGGGGGGGGGGAANNGGGTAAAGTTACTAGTACGGCTCTCCTTGGCTTGTGTTTGTGTTTGGACTCTTAGTGGAATCGTGGAATTCATTGGCTACCCGGATTGCTGTTTGGCTACAGGCTCAGAGTCTGAGAAGGGCTGGACATCTCGAACAAACATGTCAGCACAACAAGGGCTTTTTGCTGAAGCTGTGCCACAGAGAAACTGTTGTGTAACACTCTCGCTGCGCGACAACAGGCCGGCCCTCAGAAGACGAGCAGTGAAATTGAGCGCACGGACGCTGGCGAGAAAAGCTTGGCCTGTCGCTTTGTGCACAAGACCGGCAGTCTTGCCACAGTCTCATATGTCTCTCGAGTTGGAGCATCGTGTTTGCAGCACGGATGCCTTTTTTTGTCAGTGCCATGCGCGCA